CATGTTGGAGGCTTGTTTCTGCCTCACGCGTGTGTTAGGACTCGCAGAAATAGACAGCTATGAGCATAAATAATTATTATTGCTGCAGGAGAGTGCGGCATTCAGTGAAATAAGCGACATAATGCGAACTAATGTGGGCCTTAATGATTACCACACCTGTGTCTCCAGTGGCGAAGTATCCGCTGCTGTAGAGAGAAATACCAGGGGGGATTCATTCTAACACACTAGGAGAAAAGGGGACTACCACAAGTGCCACAACTACCACAATCACGACTCCAGAAAAAAAAGGAAAACACTTGTCCCTGTCGTTAAAATAATAATTGGTTCCTAAATTACACAACCTGCTGTTCTTGTTGTGACTTCTCCCATAAAACAAATTATGAAATCTTGTTCTTCATGAAACTACTTCTGTGTAAATAGGTAGCTAAAACGAAAACAGTGGAAAACTAAAATGGAGCCCCCCGGGGAACAATTCTTTAGGTAAGGATGACCAAAATTCTACGCAGACTGACAGAAAAAAAAAGAGAGAAAAATCACGAGTTGGGAATTACTATCGGAAGGCGATCCATTAGAGCGAGAAAGTGCAGCTTATGGTTATAATATATATATAGAAACAGATACAAAAAAGGAAGCTACATGCATGCCTTTATTTATTTTCCAATTTCATCATGACAAGAGAATATCGATAATACGATTAAGTCATGGGAAACACTATGCTTCCGGGATTTATTAACCATTTATGACAAAAAAATATGACAGTCCCATGACGTGAGGGGGAAAGTCTCTGTAAATTTCTCCCCCAAGATACTGTAGTGTGCATAGAGCGACTTCTCATTGGAGAAATTATTTTACACACATTGTTCATGAGACGTCCTGTACATTCTTCCATGATTATGTTTTGCGGCCCATTAATAACCTTGTCTGCCTTGTATTCGTCTCATCCTAGGGATACCATCATTCTGCCGAGTTCGCATCACAAGGACACCATCCCTTATTATGGATCGCCTCACTTCGGTACCATTTTGGAGTGGCCTACTGACGCGTTCTCTATCTCTGCTTCTATCTTCATCTCTATATTTCTCTTTAATCGACTTCTTAACTTTTCGTAACTTACGTCCAAGGTAAATGATTATGACAGTGGACGAAACGAGAAAAAACAAATAAGCCATCGAAGAACCTACGGCCATTACTACTTTCCCCTATATAAGCATTCCCAAAAGTGGTGTGAAAAACTTTAATATGGAAGTAGCGATTCCTAATCTGTCACATCAGGATTCCTTCTTCTTAGAAGATTTACTATCGCCCTTTGTTTGAGGAAAAAGGGAGCGAAGTGGTTGCTTTTTAATTCTTTTGTGGATTTCTTCGAAAAAATTATCTATCAAACTGGATGACTCGCTTGCTTCGCCAAATTCACTCCCTGTCTCTCCAGATGACGTCCTTCGCTCGGGGACTCTTGACATTCTACGATTTTGGTAATGTTGTTGTCCTTGAGATTTTTTAGCAGATGGTCCCAAGCACATCCCTTCTTCGTGGCTATCAGTGTCGGTTGCCTCTGTGATTGTATCTCTGAAGTTTCCCTTTACACGTTTCTTTTTTGTCCTTGTAAATATCTTTTCCGATTCGTCTCCGTCGTAATAAAATTGAGCCTTCTTCTCGTGGTCGTAATAGGCAAATCCCTGCCAGTTTTCATTGGCGCGTGCTCCAGAAGGGTAGTAACTCCTTCTCTGATAACAGTTGTCGTCTTGATCCGGATTGTCTTCATCCTCATGGTTTTCATCTTCCTCATCCTCATCGTCTTCACTCTCATCGTTCTCATTCTCATCGCCACGACTCTCATGGTCACTGTCCTTTCTGTGATACATCCCATCATGGTTATTGTAGTCCCCTCCTTCACCAAAGGAGTAAAATATTCCTTTAAACTTCTTTTTATTCCTGATGCCTTTAAAATCATCCGTGGTGAATTCTTTATATTCGTTAGCAGATAAGTTGATATTTTTTTTGATGCTGCCAAGTTTGACGTTGGCACAGCCC